GGTTCCGCCACAAGCCACTCGCCTGTAAATAGTGTCTGAGGGCTAGGCAAGTGTAGGCGAGAGAGAGAGAAAGTGGGCACCCGCCACTCCAAAACCGGCCTCGGCGTCCCGGAAGCAGCACCTGAGGAAACCGGCCGCCCCCCCCCCGCCACTCCAAAACCGGCCTCGGCGTCCCGGAAGCAGCACCTGAGGAAACCGGGCCAATGGAGAAGGAGGAGGTGGAGAAGATATCGCGGGACCAAGCTGAGATCAGGTCTCGCAGGCTGCTGGCCCTGCGCCTGCGCAGCGGGCTGGACGCGCGAGAACGGACAGTCAGCCCCGGGCTGAGCATGCGCGGTTGCTGGCGTTTGGCTTCAGCGCGCATGCGGACTGCGGAGGGGGTTAGGGGAGGCGAGAAGGCGCCGCAGCTGTGACTGAATGCGCTTGCGCATCTTTAGGTGGTTTGTGAAGGGAGGGAAAAGGTGACAGAGCAGAGAAGGGGAAGAGAGGGCGGTTTTAGAGACGTGGAGTTTGGGTCCAGCCCCATCAGAGATGTTGGCAGGATGCGGTGGGGTGGGTCAGCCGGAGGGAATTCAGTGTCCTGGGTTGAGTGAGTGCTGAGAGCACGGGAGTGAATCAGGCCCAGCGTGTCCCCTGGAAGAAATCCGAGTCTGTAGAGGGCGATGGCTAGAGGGTCAAGTCGCTTAGATAAGGGCGCAGGTCTGGCTTGAACTCGGGGTCCCCCTGGGGGTGGGACATGAGACAGCAGGGGTGGGCGGGTCAGCTCGCGAGGCTCCCGGCGTCAGGCTTATCCTGAAGGAGGGGGAGACGCGGGCCACTCCGGAGCAGATCTACTTTATAAATCCGTCGGAGGCCGCGGTGGAGAAGGGATCCTGCCAGAGGTCGAAAATTCAAGCGCCAGAAGGAAATCCTGGGCGGAGGGCGCGGCTTATCCAGGGCGCCTGCGCGGTCAAAAGGGGCGCGTTTTTCGCAAAGGCCAGTGTTTACCTAGTGGGAAGGTTTATAGGAGAATGAGAAATGTCCCACTTATCATTCAATTTTTTTCTTTAAGTGTTTTTTTTTTTCTTTTTGAGTGGTTTTTGCTATAGGGCACGTGCGCTAGCCAGAAAGACAGAGACAGAAAGGGAGAAATCACCCCCCCAGGGGAGATGGCCACGAAGCAATCCCTTCTCCATTTCTCCTCTCAGGAGACTGGGCACCCACGCAGACGCACCCGGCATGAGTTTAAGCCACCGGGTCCAGGACTTGAACCGCGATGGACTGCAAGGGAGTCCAGTGGCATAGCCATTACACCAACTGCTGGTCCCTCTTTATGTGTTTTTTTTTTTTTTTTTAATAGTGTTTGAACATGTAGTTTATATACATACTGACAAAATTCAATCAGCTAAAGGGTACTCAATAAAAATAAGCCTTCCCCTCTGGTCCCCATTTTCCATTTGTAAAGCACTGCTTCCCAGTTTTCTTCTGAAGCTGCTGTTGGAGCATGTGTTGAGTTCATGCAAATATAGCAGGTGACTGGCCAAGTTTCTTAACCCTCTTGGTCTTTGTGTTCCTGTTTGTGAAATGGGAATGATGACCTCTTACAATGCTGTCGGTTAGGTGGAGGATCAATCCTAGGTGGATAAACAGTGCCTCATGCAGAGTAGCACTGTGTTGACATTGTTTTGTGATCTGTGATGATGATAGTGGTTAATTCTGAGCTACCCACGACCATCCAGGTCTCCCTGCTGCCATTTTTCCCAGTGCTAGTGCCAGGTGCAGCCATTTCTTCAGGCTTCCATAGCCAGGGTGAAAGCACCAGTTAAACCCACCCACTTGAATCCTGTTGTTTATGGATTCTCAAGAGAGATTCTGGATGTTTAATGAAGATACACATGACAGGCCATTTATTTATGTCTGTTTATGTCCCTTTCTACATCTTCATCTCAGGCCATCTCTGTTTTTCTTATCTGAATTTCTTTTTTTAAAAAAAGAGAGACTTTTGGGACCAGCAGTTAGCGTAATGGCTATGTCACTGGACTCTCATGTAGTTGACCACGGTTTGAGTCCCGGACCCAGTGGCTTAAACTCACGCCAGGCGTGTGTGCCCAAGATCCCGAGAGGAGAATGGAGAAGAAGGGATTGCGGTGTGGCCATCCCCCCTGGGGGGTGATTTCTCGCTTTCTGTCTCTGTCTTTCTGGTGGGCGCATGCCCCCTATAGCAAAAACCTCCAAAAAAAAAAAAAAAGGGAGAGAGGCTTTTGTAATAGGGCATGTGCACTGTTCAGAGAGTCAGAGAAAGACAAAGTAAGAAATAACCCCCCAGTGGGGATGGCCACCCCGCAATCCCTCTCCTCTATTCTCTCCAGATTTGGGGCACACATGCACATGCGCCCTGTGTGACTCAAATCACGGTTCACTGTATTGGAGTCCAGCAATGTAATCATTGTGCCATCTGCTGGTCCCATCTAAATTTCTTTTTTTAGAGGTTTTTGCTATAGGGCACATGCGCTCGCCAGACAGACAGAGAGAAAGAAAGCGAGAAATCACCCCCCAGGGGGGATAGCCACGCCACAATCCCTTCTCCTCCATTCTCCTCTCAAGATCTTGGGCACGCATGCACACGCGCCTGGCGTGAGTTTTAAGCCACCGGGTCTGGGACACGAACTGCAGTTGACTGTGGGAGTCCAGTGACGTACCTATTACACTAACTGCTGGTCCCCCATCTGAATTTCTTAACCCCAGATCACTCTCCGTTGCCATTTCATGTCTAGACAACCCTCGGAGATAGAAATAACTGGAAAAAAGGGGCCTGGCATTGGCCTTAAAGCCACAGTGTACCAGGTTCTGTGCTCACTGCTTTGTGTCGATATCACTCCCTGCTTCTCCTTTAACTGACGCAGAAAATGAGTCTGAAACAGAAAGGGTCCTTACTGAAGGCCTCACAGCTAGGAAGCAGCGGAGTCTGGAGTCAAACCGAATCCTGTCTCACTCCAAGCCAAACGCACATTTTTTTCCTGGCACCAGGCAACCCGCCTGGTGGTGAGTGCAGTCAGGCACCCAGTATGCTCTTACATTACCGCTATGCCATTGTGTCGTGTACCAGACTTTACTTAGTAATGTCCCTGTTCGTGGATGTTTATACTGTGCTGAACTTTTGCTCTTACAAACATTTTTTGCAGTTAATAGCCTTGTACATCTGATTGCAGGTATGTGATAATATCAGTAAAATAACTTGTTTGGAGTATTTCTGAGTCAAAGAATTTGTGAGTTGGAGATTTTGAGAGCCATTCCCAAATGATCTGTTCATTATTCATTTCATTTCATTCATGCATGTATTGAATGAATTATGGAACTCTAGCTGTCTGCCAGGCATGACTGTAGATTGGGGATCCTGTAATGAATAATAGGACAGAGCACCTGTCCTCTAGGAGCAGATGTTCTATTAAGGCAGATGACACCAGGTGAAAGATGCTTGGAAGAAAAGAAAATTGAGTGTGTGTGGCAGGGGGATTGGGGAGATGTTGGTTAAAGGATACAAAATTTCTGTTAGGAGGAATAAGTTCAAAAGATCCATTGTAGGGACCAGCAGTTAGTGTAATGGCTATCTTGCTGGACTCCCACGTAGTCGACCATGGTTCGAGTCCCAGAGCCGGTGGCTTAAAACTCACGCTGGGCGCGTGTGCGTGCGTGCCCAAGATCCTGAGAGGAGAATGGAGGAGAAGGGATTGCAGCGTGGCCATCCCCCCTGGGGGGTGATTTCTCGCTTTCTTTCTCTCTGTCTCTCTCTGTCTGTCTGGCGAGCACACACACCCTATAGCCATAACCTCTCCAAAAAAAAGAAAGAAAAGATCCATTGTAAAGGGGCCAGCAGGTGTCATGGTGATCAAGGCACTGGACCCCCACACCACTGACCACAGTTTGAGTCCTGGACCTGGCAATTTGCTTTTTCCCTCTGTTTCTTTAGTCAAGTTTAAAAAAATAAAAAGATAAATGGAATTAGTAAACAATTTTTTTCTTTCTTTTTTTGGAGAGGTTTTTGCTGTAGGGTGCGTGCGTTAGCCAGACAGACAGAAACAGAGAGACAGAAAGCGAGAAATCACCCCCCAGGGGGGGATGGCCACGCCGCAATCCCTTCTCCATTCTCCTCTCGGGATCTTGGGCACTCACACACACGTGCCCGGCGTGAGTTTAAGCCACCGGGTCCGGGACTCCAACCACGGTCGACTACATGGGAGTCCAGCGACATAGCCATTACACTAACTGCTGGTCCCAGTAAATAAATATTTTTTAGAAAAAGATCCATTGCATGACATGGTAACTATTGTTAATAATGTTTTGTATACCTGAACATTAGAATAGAAATTAAGTGTTCATACCACAGAAAAATGACAGATTTGTGAGGCAATGTCTATGTTAACTAACTTGGTGTAGCTATTCCACAGGGGATACAGATTTCAAAACATGCCTGGGTGAGAGACGGTGGTGGTTCAGGAAGAGGGTGGTGCTGATAGACAAGTGAGAAGAACTGAAAACTGGGATCTGTTTGGAAGGTAGAGCCGAGGGATTAAGTAAATGTGGGGCGTGAGAGGAAGCATGAGTCAGGGATGATTTAAAAGTATCCTAGAGATCTATTGTCCAACATGGTGACTGTAGTTAATAACAATGTAGACTTGAAACTTGGGAAAAGAGTAGATTTTAAGTGCTCTCAGCACAGTAAAGTAAGTGTGAGGTAACGCATATGTTAACTAACTTAATTTAGCCATGCCGCAGTGTATACAGATATGAAAGCGTCGTGGTGTACACTATAAAGAAAAAGTTCTGAAGATCTCAGGCCTGACTGACTGGATGAAGAGGGGTGCTTGATGGGAAGTGGACAAGCTTTGAATGTTTTAACTTTGATGCAAATTGGACAGCAAGTAAGCAGAGTTGGGAGGAGAAGCTGGGGTTTGGAGGTACAGAAGTTTTCCTGACTTCATGACAGAATTTGAAAAATAAACACAAAGGTATCAGGGCCTAAAGAAGTCCCACACACCTGCTGGCCGGTATTACCTTTTTCTTGTCTTCTGTTTGCCCTCTCACACGTGAGCACGCTTTTCCTGGAGTTTTGTTTGTTCTAAGCCAATCACAGATGTGATGTCATTT